AACATGATATTAGGAATTAAAATAATCAAAGCATGATTTCTATATCAAAAGATCAATAAAACAATTTAAGTACTTACTTAGATGCCTCGTACCTCTTTCTAATAAAAAAATACACACGTTAGTAACTTCAAGGAAAAATAACAAATAACAAATTAAATAATTGAAATAGATATTTGAGACCAAACCCTCATAAATATCAAACCTTTCACGTCTAGGGCGAAGGCAACTTCAAACTTATCTAAGTGTTTCTAGGACTAATGAGTGTGGAATTTTGAGAGAGGGGAGGTTTAGAAAAAGAATAGAGAGAGAAAGCTTCTAGCTTTTAGACAGAGAATAGAGAGATGAGATAGTTGTGAAAGATGATTGTTGATGAAACGAACCCTATTTATAGGAAAAATAGCACGGGATCGAAGAAAGTCATATTCGGAATAAAATACCTCCTGTCGCCAATGACATGAGTCAACGCCAAACGACAAGCTCGTCACCAGGCGACAACCTTGTTCTTTCTTGTTGATTCGAAAGTACAACGCGCTTTCGTATGCGGAATCATCTTGTAAACGGGTTAACAGGTAATTCCGTGTCTAAGCATATTTAAAATCAAATAATATATTTTATTCAAAATAAAACATCTTTTAAAAAATTTAATTATCAATCCTAATCTTATTAGAATTAAAAAGAAACTTCTAGATATTCCTAGTAGATTAAAATCAATCCTAATCACTTTAGGAATCAGGGGAGGACCATCAGTAGGGGCCTACTGGGGCCTGGCCCCTGGTACAACCCTAAAAGAAATTTAGCCTTAAAGCCCAACTCAAAAAAATTACTCCATAAGCCCAATACTAGTTACTACTGCAGTAACTGCCTTTCTCCGATTAGATAACACATTTCCCACGAAACAAAAAAATGCTTACCCCACAAGAATGGAGTATTGGGTAATTTCTCATTTATTTTGTCAGAGACATCTATTTATTTAGTAGGGAAAAAAGCAAGCTACTAAATTTTTCTTTTTAAGTTTCTAGATTTTACAAAATGGAGTATACTCTATGTCTCTACTCTCTAGTATGAAGTATGTAATTATGTACTATTTAGTATTTTCTTTTCCTTTTTTTTTATAATAATAATCTTAATTTTCAATTTATCACCCTTAAATGGACAATAATATTTTTTTTTAATGGACAGTAATATTCTAATCAACCTAAATCACTACAGATTTTCTAATCAACCGAAATCACTACAGATAAAATTAAGATTATTATTATAAAAAAAAGGAAAAGAAAATACTACATAGTACATAATTACATACTCCATACTAGAGAGTAGAGACCTAGAATATACTCCATTTTCTAAAATCTAGAAACTTAAAAAGCAAAATTTAGTAGCTTGCTTTTTTCCCTACTAAATGAATAGATGTGTCTGACAAAATCAATGAGAAATTCCCCAATACTCCATTCTTGTGGGGTAAGCATTTTTTTGTTTTGTGGGAAATGTGTTATCTAATCGGAGAAAGGCAGCTACTGCAGTTGTAACTAGTATTGGGCTTATGGAGTAATTTTTTTTTAGTTGGGCTTTAAGGCTAAATTTCTTTTAGGGTTGTACCAGGGGCCAGGCCCCAGTAGGCCCCTACTGAAGGTCCTCCCCTGCTAGCAGGCACTTCTAGATGAGGCTTTTCTTGCTCAGTTCCTTCACCATCTTCTTCATTTGTTGGTTCATCATTGACCTGTTCTTCTTGGATATCTTGACGGGGAACTTCAGCATTTTCTTGTTGATGTTCTTCTTGAACTGCTTGCTCTTCTCTGGTTTGCTTTTCATTATCTTCTTCTTCTTATTCTTCATTTATGTTTCTTACTAATCCAATTTCAAAACCATTGTCATCTTGTTCCTGAACATTCATAAACAGGTTAGATTCATCAAAGATAATATGAATGCTTTCTTCAACACACAATGTATTCTAATTTTAAACTCTGTAAGCTTTGCTATTTGAGGCATATCCAAGAAATATAGCCTCTTCACTTCTCTCATTAAATTTTCCTAGGTTTTTCTTGCCATTGTTATGAACAAAGCATTTACACCCAAAGGATCTGAGGTGAGAGATATTTGGTTTCCTCCCTTTGAACGGTTCATAAGGAGTCTTGTTGGTAATTGCTCTTATATTTACCTTGTTCATGATGTAGCATGCTATATTAACTGCTTCAGCCTAGAAGTTCCTTGGAAGGGAGCTTGCAATCAATATTGTTCTTTCCATGTCTTCTAGCGTTCGATTTTTTCTCTTAACTACTCCATTCTATTGAGGAGTTCTAGGAGCAGAGAAATTGTGATTCATTCCTTGATGTTCCCTGCAAAACTCATCAAACTTTGAATTTTCAAACTTTGTACCATGGTCAGATCTTAGGTGAATTATAGAGAATCCACTTGATTTCGGCACATCTTTGGCAAATGCTACAATTTCATCAAAGGTCTCATCTTTGCTTGTTAGAAATATTACCCAAGTGTATCTAGAGTAATCTGATCATCAACAATAACCAACACATATTTCTTGCCACTCCTACTCTGAACTCTCATGGGACCACATAAATCCATATGAATTCATTTTAATGGTTTTGAGGTGCTCACCATCTTTTTAGATCTAAAGGAACTTCGGACATGTTTTCCTTTTACGCAAGCATCACATATTTTATCATTTAGGAACTTGATAGAGAATAATCCTACTACCAAGTCCTTTGACCTGAGTTTATCAATTAAGGAATGAAATTTTTTGAGGAAGGTCCTTTTCAGTAGACCTTTTTGTGACAAAGGCCCTTTTATAAAAAAAGATGGCACAAAAGGTCCTTATATCATGCTTAGGTTTTGAGGAGGGTCCTTTGACTATTTTTCGGCGTTGACTTTTTTATTTTCCAGCCAAAAAAAATCACATCTAAGTTCCCTTTTTTCTCCCTCCTCATTTCCCTCGTTTTTCCCTTTTTTCCCTATAAAAACCTAATTTATGAAAACAATTAACACTAAAACTTCAATTGTAATCTCATAAATTAAAATTAAAGGTCATTCAAAGTAATTCAAGGCTAATATAATCCTCCTCAAAATGAGAGCTAATAGGGAAAAAAGAGAATTTAATAAGTCAGCTGCTTTACACGTGGCTTTTTTTGGCCGAAAAATAAAAAAGTCAACGCCAGAAAATGGTCGAAAGACCCTCCTCATAACCTATACATGATAGATGTACCTTTTGTGCCACCTCATTTATAAAAGGGCCTTTGTGACAAAAAGATCTACTTAAAAGGACCTTCTTCACAAATTTTCCTTAAGGAATAGCTAGCATGTCCGAAACGCTTGTGTCAAAGTAGAGAGTCATCTTAAATATGTTGGGTTTCGATGAGTCTGACTCACCGCGGAAGAAAACCCGAGCCAAGACCACACTCACAATAATTATAACCATAAAGCATAATTAACTTAAAAAACAAGATTAAGAAAGAGATTAATACCTTTGGCTTGTGCTTCACTCACTAATAGAGCTCTTACTTCAACAGCTCTAAGCCCCGCTCGCACGAGGATCTCCAACAAATTCCACCTGCAACCCGAGCACCGAAAATGGTCCAATGCTTAAGAGTTAGCTAAGCCCGACCTAAACCTGAGTAATTTAATTGTGTTAAAAGATTTTCACAATAGTGATGCCTTTTTCAACACTTACTCAAGTGCTTTTCCCAATACCCCAACTTGGGTATTTATAGGGAAAGGCAAGAGTAAGATTTGCTCTCCCATCAATGTGGGAGAATTGATCTTTTTATTTTATTTTAAATCAAAAATAAAATTAATAATCAAGCTACTAATAAATCAACAAGTGGCACGTTCATAAAAGAGGTTAGGTGAGGACCACTTGGAGAAGGGGGGGCACCAAACATGCTCCCCACTCTTCTCCCATTGCCGGCTAACACAATCCCTCAAGCCAATCAACGTGCACCACGTGGCACCCCAACAATTGGGCACCAAGGCACCCAAGTGTGGGCTGCCGGCTGCTGCCTTCCCTTCGGCTCAGCAGGCCACGCACCAATGTGCGGGTTGCTTGGCCGAGGCTTGCTGCTAGCATGCCATGCACCATATGCAGGCTGCTAGCTAAAGCCTGCTAGCATGCCTCGCACATTTGTGCGGGCTGCTATCCTTGGCCAGCTGCTAGCATGCCTCGCACATGGTGCGGGCTGCCAGCCTTGGCCAGCTGCTAGCATGCCTCGTACATGGTGCGGGCTGCTAGCTGGCCCTTGCTAGCAAAGGTGCGCTAACATGCACCAGCCAGCCTAGGCTCGGCTTGGTGCGCTTGCTAGCCACCTTGCTAGGCCATATGCCCCTATCACTCGACTTGCTCGGCACATTCTAATGCAAGGGTTATTTTGGTAATTTTTTTAATTTATTAGTAATTTTCTCGTCTCGTCTTTTATTATTTTGACTCGACTTCCGACGCTTGATTTCGACGCTCCAAACTCGAATTTTCGATGTCTAAATATTAATTACTCGGGCGACTCATTAATTCCTTTCGAATTAATTCTTCGCGTTGGTTCGTTAGTTTCTTGGGTGTGACCCGAAGGATTCAGTCAAGATTAAACTATAATATTAATTATACATTAATATTACTGATTGGAAGCGGCCTCCACCCAAGCATTTCGATCACTTGACCTCACTGAATAATTAGCTTTCTAATAATTTCGAACCCTCTATCGAAATAATACACTTGTTTGAAAGACACCATTCCTTTCAATCTCCCAATTATCCTTCCGGACAATTGAAAGGTACTCATCACTAGGTTTGGTTTTGGGGAGACACAAATGGGTGTCTACAATTTGGGTCATAATAATTTAAGTAGTAGAGTCGTGTATGTTGTGATGGATCAGGTAAAGGTGTCAAAAGCATACCTGACCCGACTCGACCGGAAAAAAAATATTCGATTTAGATTTCGACTCACGTATATACAATAATTTCATATGTGACTCAAATTTTAAAATTGACCTGATTCGATCCGACCTCATTAGACCCGTTCTAAACATCCAAATTAGCACCTCTAGTCATAGGGTGGATACAGGAAGGGTTCAATGGACTCACAGATTTTTTTGAAAAGTTTCATTAACTGAAAGTATAAGGATTGAAAAATGGTACTCTAGTAAGGAAATATATTAAACCTTGTAGTATCTGAATTTGACTATCAGTGCAACCTGATACATTGTTTTTGCAATTATTCCATCTTCCCCCAGGATCAGCCGAAGATGGTACCAAGATGTTATTTAACTGCCAGAGTATATAATCAATATCTTATACGAGTACTTCGTAACTTTCTCTAATAAGATAAGTTCAACGAATTTATGAAGTTACTGTTACACAGAAGATAAGAGGTGTAAAGTACCTGCCATGTATCATATGCAGAGTTTAAGACGAAAAGTGGAGTCTTGATGTAACTCAAGAAATATTGTGGAAAGAAGCACTGATAAAAAAAAATGAGACGTCAAATTAGAACCTTATAAATGTAAAAGCAAATTAAATAATTATTATGTGAATTCTTCAAGCAGTTTGCAGAATCATACTTGCTTAGGATTGGTTTGAGAACTGGTACAGTTTTGGTTCAGATTCTTTTCTACTCCTTGAAGAGAAACGACGTCATGGTGAAAGGATCTAATAGTGTCGTTCTTGGCTACATCATTTCTGTAATATGGATGGATAATAATGAACTGAAATCTGAAAAAATATGGCAGGGGAAAAGAAGGATATAATATGCAGGACATGAGAATATAAGATGACTTACACGTCCAAGAAAAAACCGGCATCACTGATACATTTGACAGTAGAATTTTCTGGTAGATAATTGGAGAAGTTGTCACAGTGCAGAAACACTGCTAAACCCCCTGCTGAGCAGCCAGAGAGCAAAGCCTGCAGAGTGCAGATCAGAGTAGGCGTAGATGTCATATGCCAATCAATTTCGGAACATGCTAAGAAGTTTTTTACAGTTAATCATAGTTTTTATTTTATCTCAGTAATCTATCTACCTTCTCTGCATGTGCCAACCCTTTTGGAAGAAGATCAGAAATTATTGCCTGCCAAATTTTTTGCCCTCTGAAGTAAAGCGATGAGGTCTGCCCAATGTTAACGTGTACAGATTAGGAAGAACAAAAAATAATTTCCTATAACCGTTGAGAACTGTACAGAAAATGATCTAAAGAGAGATATGACTGAAACATATTTACCCCATTGTCAAACTTGGAATCGCCAGCAAAGGAAGCACCATCACAGTATTTAAGCACAACGCGATTCCAATTGTAGAAGTCTGTTATTGACATTACATGAAGCATTATGAACTAAAAATCGCGAAAAACAAAAAGAAAAACTTAATACGTGTAACATTAAATTACTTTCACATCATTTTTGGCTTTTAAGTTACACAAGTCCTATGCTTCAGGTTATTTTTTCACATAGAACATGTCATTCTAGTTACTAAGCTGGCAAAGCAAGAACTTGGCTGATCAATTATAACTGCATTATGATCATCATTGCATGAATATGAATTGAAGAAGAATTACATGACAAATTTGGATCCCAAACAGACAACGATACCAAACACAAAATAAAGAAGTAGGGAGTAATTATGAACCTGGGTTGAGGGATATATTGTTGCTTAGGATCCCAGAAAAGACTTCCACATTTTTCATGTAGTTTGAGGATCCAACATCAGTTTTCGTCCTCTCCAAGCATGACTGAACATCATTGCACCATCCACCACCCTACCAAATCATCATCATATACATCAAGTGATCGATTGATCTCCATTGTCAAAGCTAGCTAGGTTTCACCAATAAACTATTATTTTTTTTAAAAAAAAACAATTTATTTTAGGGTCACTACTGTTACTAATTCCAGCCTCTATCTCTAAATAAAAGTCTCAACCCTCCACTACGGAGTACAACTAATCAAGGCTATTTTAATTTTTCTTGATATAGAAAATTCAAGTAAAGCTTTTCAACCCAAAGTTATGCATTGCCGTACTAATAAAATCACCTTTCATAGAATGACCTATTTTTGGTTTTTTAATCACTCAAAATCTTCTTGACAAAGTTTTAAACTGGCTATCACTGGCCTATCGCAATTGTCCTCCTTTATCTAGGTTTGGGACTGGCAGCAGGAAACCTACTGACCGAGCTTTTTAAATCACTCATAATGTATTACTAAAATCACTAACACTTGATTACTAATGTAGAAATTAACAAAATTCCGATATTCTAGAAATCACCTCAAAATGCAAAAGCCAGTTACTTGCACCAGAACCGAATCCTTGGCTGAAACGATATGCATGTAAACTCCCGTCCAAGCAATCTGCAACCAAATAATTAATTGCATGTAAGGGTAGTAACATAGTTTTAAGTAGTGTACATTATTGTTTGAAAATTAAGACTTACATGCTCCAAGACCATTTGCAGTGGTATTTTTCACCATTGTAATGCCCACAAAAAGTTGATCAGGTACTTGTGAGTAAGTACACCGCGGTGCGAATGTTAGCAGGAGCAATACAGCCACACTTAGCCTGAAAACCATCATTTTTTTTACGTACAAAAACAAATTTCTAGTGCTTAAAATTATGTTACAAGGAGAAAAGTTGATCCGCTCAATGCATGAACTAGAGCAAGCTATATATGCCTATATGTATAAGTTGAGGAGCATTATAAATGTCCAAGATCGGGGATAGAAAGATGGAAAGATAGGAGGAAAATGCTGTGCTGCGCCGATTCAAATTCCAAATTTAAGTTTCTAGCCCAAGATATGGGTTGATTTACGAGTAAGGTTGACTTAGTTGACTTAGTTGAATTACAAGTCAAATAATTTGGAGGAGGGTTTGGTTTGGACTAGAAAATTCAATTTTGTCATTGAGCGTGTTTTAGTTGAGTGAGGTTTGATTTGGACTAGAAAAATCAATGACAAGAATCCGGTCAAAGGACCATATTATAAAAAGACCTTATTTACAAGGTCGACCATTTAAAAAAAACTTTTCTAACAACGTTACCTACGATAATGAATGTTCCAAATACAATAGAAAAACATACATAGTTTTTGACAAACTTTACAATTTCACACACTCGTTTATCGACAATCCATATGACACCTTCAGTACAAGGAGGGGTTGTTAATGAGCCCATGTATCTGTAATACTTATTTTCTCTAAACTTTATTTCTCCTTGGACTCATCATGGATTCATGGTATGCCACCACTCGCTTTCTTCTTCTTCTTTCCCTTTTTTGAGGATTACACGGACAATTAGTTTGACAAATGCATCAAATAAGAGCAAATGGAAATGTTATACATATGACTCCTGTAATCTTCTTATTTCCGAGGCAAAACTGATCTTATACTGATTTAAATTTGGATGATGATGAACTGATATTTAAATACCTCTAAGCATTGGAAGATGTTGAAGCTTATAAGTTCTGATGATGATGAACTTAAACTAAAGCAAACTCAACTAAAGGTTTACAAGTGTTTAAGTACAAGAGAAATGGACCTTGGTGGAGGAAGAACATCTTGTATTATGAAGACTTGAAGAATCTTTAGTATAAGGTTAATCAATAGAAGAAGAGTTCTCTAACCAAAACTAAATTCCTTAACAGGAATGTTCCCTAACAGGAACTCGAAGGATGTAAGCTGAAGATAGTAAGTTCCACAAGGAACTTAGGCTGCGAAGTTCCAGTTGTGAACTGGAAACCAAGTGACAGCAGGAACTTGTTCCTATCCTGCGTGAAGCCCAAGATATTCAGAATTACAGAAGCGCGGCATTGAGATATTAATTTAGTTAAGATTTTATCTTCTAGATTTATTGTTAAATATGTTGATAAGATATGCATGAAATCTATTAGAGACGTGACAAGATAATTTGGCAAAAAGATAAAATTGGAAAAATATAAAAAGATAGATTTTGGAAAAAGATTTTGTTTATTTTCCTAAAATCAGTTACAAAAACGATATTATTCTTTCATATATATCTTCTTGTATTTTTCGGAAAGGATTTTTCTTCAATAAAATGATTTACCAAAAATCGTATTTTGAGATAAGGAAAGTTAACATCTTTATCTTTTGAAAACCTACTTTCTATACAAGTTATACTTCTACAAATAGTAGAGGTAAAACTGCTTTAGATCCGTGTAAGTTTTATGCGTGAAGAAAATCTTGTGAGCTTTATCAAAGTGTAAGTTTGCCAAGCTTTATCTTGTCATATTAGTTTCGGGTTTTATGCATAGCTTGCCTAACATATTCTAGACACTTTATTTACTGTAATTGTTTGGGTAATTGAGTGAAAGTGTATGATATTTATAATCACATACTGTAGAAATTATTTTGTGAAAAAGAGTGCATTGATACTGTGAGAGTACGAGTGAATTCAAGTCAGGGGATTTGAATTGGGTAGGAGTGAGTCTTACCGTGCTGCAAGTTCTAGTTGGAACTTGTATACAAAGGTCTGGATTATAATAGGTTTGTAATTTCTTCATTGCCCTATTATAGTGGATTGTTTGTGTGTTGAAATCCCTTAGAAGGGTCGAGGTTTTACTTCCAGTTGGGCCCTGGAAGGTTTCCTCGTAAAACTGTGTGTGCACCATCAAGTTCCTTTTATATTTTGTTTTTAATTTGCAAAAGTAGTCACTAGGAACTTAACTACAATTCACCCCCCCTCTTGTAGTGTTCATTTCAACTAACAATTGGTATCAGAGCAAGGTTCTCACGTGTAAGCAGATAATTTTGCTGAGTAAGATCTTGAGGAGAAATGAACTACAAAGAAAAACTTGAAGAAGGGTACTCAACCCAACGACCACCTATGTTTAACGGTAAGTTTTATACCTACTGGAAGAACAGAATGGAGATTTTCATTAAGGCTGAGAATTACCAAGTTTGGCGTGTTATTGAAGCGGGTGACTATGAGGTAACCGCTACAAATGATAAAAATGAGGTAGTTCCTAAACTTATTTCTGATTATGACAAAGAAGATTATCAGAAACTCGAAATGAATGCTTTAGCAATAAAGTATTTACATTGTGGTCTTGGACCTCATGAGCATAATCGTATCATGGGGTGCAAGACTGCTAAACAAATTTGGGATCTACTCGAGGTCACTCATGAAGGAACAAACGAGGTAAAACGTTCTAAAATTGATTTACTAATGTTTAGATATGAAAGGTTTGAAATGCAGTCCAAAGAAACAATAGAAGAAATGTTTACTAGATTTAACGACATAATTAATGAATTAAACTCCCTTGGTAGGCACATTCCTATTGATGAACAAGCTAGAAAGATTTTGAGAAGTCTTCCACAGGATGAACGATGGAGATCCAAAGTTATTGCCATGCAGGAAGCTAAGGACTTCGCTAAGTTCAATATTGAACAACTAGCTGGATCACTTATGACTCATGAATTGCATCTGAGTTCCAACAACGAAAGTTCCAAAAACAAGAGTCTTGCTCTAAAGGCTCTAGACTTAGAGGAATTTGAAGTTGATGAAGAGGAGATGGCTATGTTAGTCAGAAGATTCAAAAAGATGATGAATAACAGAAGGTTTGACAGAAACAAGAAGCCCACTGGTTCCAGAGACACCACATGTTTTAAATGTGGAGCAAAAGATCACTTCATTAAAGACTGTCCACTCAAGGATGGCAAGAAAAAACCTAAGGAGCAATCCAAGGAATCCAGGGTGTATAAGCCTTACTTCACCAAAGATAATGTGAAGAAAGAAATGCTAGCCGCCTGGGGAGATACTGATACAGAAGAAGAAGAAGAAGATCAACCTCCTGAAGAAACAGCTCATCTGTGCCTAATGGAAAAATCAGATGAAAAGGCCAAGCTAAAGGAACTTGAAGCTGAGGTATGGTTTTCTGAAAGAGATCTAGAACATTTCTCTAAAAAGAATCTAAGATATGCTGTCTTGGATATTCAAGAAGAGCTTAAAGAATTGCATAGAGCCAAACAGCAAAGTGATAAAGCTTCGATCACTTACCAAGAAAATAGTGAGTGGGCTGACAACATGAAATTTGACATTCAATATAGATTCTTTAGTCTTTTTGATGACAATCGTGTTTTAAATGAGACCTTAGAAAACTTAAAGCATGATAACATACTCTTAAATGTTGAACTTTCTTTGTTAAAATCAGGAATAGACTCACCTAATTCTGAAGTTCCTTCTCTAACTCAATTCACAAATTTTGAAAAATTGAAATCGGATTTAGAGAAAATCAAAATGGAGAAAGCCAGACTTGAGGGGGAACTTGAGAAGGCTAAGAAAGGTAAGAAACCTGTTGAGTATATAGTTCCTGACTGGATTACTAATGCTCAGACCAAAAGAACAGAAGGACTAGGTTTCAAAAGAAGTTCCAAAAGGAAAAGAAGTATGTTAATTTGCCTAGTAGTATTGTTTGTCATTTCTGTGGAAAAACTGGACATAAGCAGATGAATTGTTCAAAGAGAGAAAGTAGTACACAGAAAAAAAAATTATGTTAAGCAAATTTAGGTTATGAAAAATAATCCCACTCCTATTACACAGGAACCCAAGGAAACCTGGGTTCCTGATACTAATGTTTAATTCTTCATGCAGGTTCCAGTGAGGGGGAACAACACTTGGTACCTCGACAGTGGTTGTTCGAAGCACATGACTGGAGAAAAATCTAGATTTCTCTCACTGGATGCTTACTATGGAGGAACTGTGACCTTTGGTGACAATATGAAAGGAGATATAATTGCCATTGGCAAAGTAGGAAGGTCAAGTTCCCATGCTATTGACAATGTATTTTTGGTCGAGGGTCTCAAACACAACTTGTTAAGCATTTCACAATTTTGTGACAAAGGAAACTCAGTAATTTTTACTTCAGATAAATGTAGAATCATTCACAATGACACTAGGAACATTATTTTAGAAGGAACTCGTAAAGGGAACACTTATTTTGTGGATCATAACGAAGTTCCTAAAAGCAGTCTAACATGTCTCAGTGTTATTGAGAATGATCCTTTATTATGGCATAAAAGATTTGGTCATGCAAGCTTTACACTACTCAATAAACTTAGAGCTAAGGAACTTGTGGAAGGTCTTCCTTGCATCAAGTTCCTATAACAAAGTGTATGATGCTTGTGTTAGAGGAAAACAGACTCGAAGTTCCTTCAAATCCAAGAAAATGTTAAGCACCAAAAGACCTTTGGAAATTGTCCATATGGATCTATGTGGTCCTATGAGAATCCAAAGTAGAAGTGGTAAGAGATATGTAATGGTAATTGTTAATGATTTTTCAAGATTTACTTGGGTTTTCTTTCTTGTCAGCAAAGATGAAACATTTAATGAATTTGTAGCCTTTGTAAAGAAAGAACAGAGAAGAACATGTAATCCACTGATTCACCTTAGATCAGATCATGGCACAGAATTTGAAAATTCTAAATTTGATGAATTCTGTACTGAGCATGGTATGGATCACAACTTTTCTGCACCAAGAACTCCACAACAAAATGGAGTGGTGGAACGCAAGAATAGAAGTCTTGAAGACATGGCTAGAACAATGCTAATCTCAAGTGGTCTGCCAAGAAACTTCTAGGCAGAAGCAGTAAATACAGCATGCTATATTCTCAACAGAGTATCTGTTAGAGCCATCACCAACAAAACTCCCTATGAGCTAATCAAAGGGAGAAAACCTTAAATTTCTCACCTCAGATCTTT